CATATAAAAGCAAGAAGATATGATATTTGTCCTTCTTTGTCTTGCTTATTTCACTTTAAAAATGTTCTCCAATTCCATCCATGTTGCTGCAAATGGCTTTTTTAATGTATTTACATATTTTGATTATACTTTAAGTTCTGGGATACATTGCTACATAGGTATACATGTGCCATGGTGGTTTGCTCCACTCACCAACCCATCATCTAGGTTTTAAGCCCACATGCATTAGGTATTCATCCTTATGGTATCCCACCCTTTCCCCTCAACCCGTAACAGGTCCTGGTGCGTGATGTTCCCCTCCCTGTGTCCATGTATTCTCATTGTTCTACTCCCACTTATAAGTGAGAACATGTGGTGTTTGGTTTTCTGTACCTATGTTAGTTTCCTGAGAATGATGGTTTCCAGCTTCATCCATGTCACTGCAAAGGACATGAACTTTTTCTTTTTTATGGCTGCATAGTATTCCATGGTGTATACGTGCTACATTTTCTTTATCCAGTCTATCATTGATGGGCATTTGGGTTGGTTCCAAGTCTTTGCTATTGTAAATAGTGCTGCAATAAACATACATGTGCATGTGGCTTATAATAGAATGATTTATAATCCTTTGAGTATATACCCAGTAATGGGATTTCTGGGTCAAATGATATTTCTGATTCTAGATCCTTGAGGAATAGTCAAACTGTCTTCCACAATGGTTGAACTAATTTACACTCACACCAACAGCATAAAAGTGTTCCTATTTCTCCACAACCTCTCCAGCAACTGTTGTTTCCTGACTTTTTTATGATCGCCATTCTAACTGACGTCATATGGTATCTCATTGTGGTTTTGATTTGCATTTCTCTAATGACCAGTGATGATAAACTTTTTTTCATATGTTTGTTCACTGCATAAAGTTCTTCTTTTGAAAAGTGTCTGTTTATATTCTTCATGCACACTTTTGAAGGGGTTGTTTATTTTTCTTCATGCACACTTTTGAAGGGGTTTTTTTTTCTTGTAAATTTGTTTAAGTTACTTGTAAATTCTGGATATTAGATATTTGTCAGATGGATAGATTGCAAAAGTTTTCTTCCATTTTCTAGGTGGCATGTTCACTCTAATGATAGTTTATTTTGCTGTTCAGAAGGTCTGTAGTTTGATTACATGCCATTTGCCAATTTTGACTTTTCTTGCAATTGCTTTTGGTGTTTCAGTCATGAAATTTTGCCTATGATTATGTCCTGAATATTGCCTAGGTTTTCTTCTAGGGGTTTTTAGAGTTTTAAGTCTTAATGTTTAATTATTTAATACATCTTGAGTTAATTTTTGTATAAGGTGTAAGGAGGGCTTCAATTTCTGTTTTCCACACATGGCTAGCCAGTTATCTCAGCACCATTTGTTAAACAGGGAATGTTTTCCCCATTGCTTGTGTTTTTTCAGGTTTCTCAAAAATCTGAAAATATGTGGTGTTATTTCCGAGGCCTCTGTTCTGCTTCACTGGTCTATATATTTATTTTAGTACCAGCACTATACTGTTTTGGTTACTGTAGCCTTGTAGTATCCTTTGAAGTCAGGTAGCATGATGCCTCCAACTTACGTTCTTTTTGCTTAGGATTGTCTTGGCTATAGGGGCTTTTCAGTTCCATATCCAATTTAAAGTCGTTTTTTTCTAATTCTATGAAGAAAGTCAACAGTAGCTTGATGTGGATAGCATTGAATCTATACATTACTTTGGGCAGTATGACTATTTTCATATTATTGATTCTTTCTCTCCTGGACCATGGAATGCTTTTTCATTAGTTTGTATCCTCTCTTTTTTCCTTGAGCAGTGCTTTGTAATTTCCTTGAAGAGGTCTTCACATCTCTTGAATGTTGTGTTACTAGGTATTTTATTCTCTTTGTAGCAATTGTGAATAGGAGTTCACTCATGATTTGGTGCTCTGTTTGTCTATTATTGGTGAATAGGAATGCTTGTAATTTTTTGCTCATTGATTTTGTATCCTGAGACTTTGCTGAAGTTGCTTATCAGTTTAAGGAGTTTTTAGGCGAGGACATTGGGTTTTTTAAATATACAGTCATGTCATCTGCAAACAGTCAATTTCACTTTCTCTCTTTCTATTTGAATATTCTTTATTTCTTTCTCTTGCATGATTGCCCTGGCCAGAACTTGTAATAGTATGTTGAATAGGAGTGGTGAGAGAGGACATCCTTTTCTTGTGCTGGTTTTCAAAGGAAATGCTTCCAGCTTTTGCCCATTCAATATGATATTGGCTGTGGGTTTGTCATAAATAGTTCTTATTATTTTGAGATACAGTCCATCAATACCTAGTTTATTAAATGTTTTTAGCATGAAAGGATGCTGAATTTTCTCAAAGGCCTTTTCTGCCTCTATTGAGATAATCATGTGGTTTTCGTCATTGGTTCTGTTAATGTGAATGTGATGGATTACATTTATTAATTTGTGTATGTTGAACCAACTTGATCATGGTGGGTAAGCTTTTTAATGTGCTACTTGATTCGATTTTCCAGTATTTTATTGAGGATTTTCACATCAATGTTCATCAGGGATATTGGCCTGAAATATTTTTTGTCATGTTTCTGCCAGTTTTTGTTATCAGAATGGTGCTGGCCTCATAAAATAAGTTAGGTAGGAGTACCTCTTTTTCTATTATTTGGAAAAGTTTCAGAGGAATGAAATCAGAGAGTGTGATGACTTCAGCTTTGTTATTTTGTTCAGAAATGCTTTAATTACTTGGGATTTTTTGTGGTGATAGACAAATTTTAGAGTTTTCTTTTCTATTTCTGTGAAAAATGTCATTGGTATTTTGACAGAGATTACATTAAATCTGGATTTTTGTTTTAGTAGTTTGGACATTTTAACAGGATCAGTTCTTCCAATCCATGAGCATGAGCTACCTTTCCAATGTTGTGTCCTCTTCAGTCTCTTGTATTGATATTTTATTGTTTTCATTGTAGAGGTTTCTGCCTCATTTTTATTTGTGATAAGAAGGCACATGGAAGTAAAAGAATTGCCTCAACAGCTAAACAGCTAAACTTTGAATCCTTATGCTAGTCAAAATAATTATCTTATGGAAGTTCTGGAGTTTTAAAAATCTGCCCCCATTTCTTAGTAATATAAACCTTCAGATTTATTTATTATTGTATAATTTTATCTCTATATGAGTCAAAACTTATTTATTGGAAACAATACAATGGTAATAAGCTCTAATTGAAAATCTTCAATTATCTTACATGGAATTTTCTTTTTTAAGTTTTATTAAAATATCTGACTGTGACTCTCACTTTGGAAATTATATTTTGATTATCTGATAATCATACTGAAACCACACCATGCTGTTATTGCTATAACATTCTCAGAAAATCTCCTTCTATATCTAAATTCTTGTTTCAAGACTTGGATTTTACCTCCATCAACACAAATTTAAACACGCATTATAATAGGTAAAATGATCCTATGTGCTATGACAACTTGAGATGATAAATCCAGTGTTTTCTAGAACATTCTTTAAAAAGCCTTCACATTTGTTTTATAAAAAAAATTTATAGAAAGTTTTATTGGGTCACATAGGATTGATTGATTTCAATGCTACTGCAACAGTTTGAATATAAGATTTTTCTGGCTGCATCCATGATAAAATTAAGAATAGTTAAGAAACCGAGCCTTAATAGTGATTTGGACTAATATAAAGTTCATTAAAAAGATGAGTTAGAAAGTGAGTATCATTATAAAACTAGAAATTTATTTTTGGTGAGCTAAGTTATTTTTGCTTTCTCCAATATTTTATGCTTCCAGTATTATTGTGCTGTTATGAGTCTTCCCTGGAAACAAAGAAAAAAAGAATATAAATCTTTAAAAAATCATCAAAAACATATAATTGCTTAATTTCTTGTAATTCCTATCACTCTCTGGTTGATATTTGTGTTCTAAACAGATACATACTTGTGGAACAAGTGTTTAATTTAGAGGAATTACATTTTGTAATGCAATAGTTATTATGTCATCTACATAGGAGTAATATTTAGAAGTGAGAGGATCTGGTACCACAACTAGGTCCCTATTTCAACAAGACTTATAAAGGTCACACACAATTAAGTTCACATATAATTGGGGTATAATTTACTATTAGAACCCTTGTTTCCAATTTTATCTGTGGGAAGAAAAAATAGACAGATAAAAGTTCTCTTACTATGCAGCTATTTATTAAACATGTAATTTTGAGCAATAAAACACTTTCTGAGCCTGAAGTTCCATATGTGTGTCACCAGGCTAATGATATCAACTTTCTGTGTTGTTGTAATGATTTGAAATAATTCAACAAATTACAAAATGCATTGTCTAGATTATTGTAGTCACTCACTAAATGACAAAACATAATACCAGGCATATTTTTATTTTTGTGTGAAACTATAAGACATCGAGCATTGTGCCAAATGTTAAATTGCAGAAATTTATTTAACATTCTCAGTAATCCTATGAGGCAGTCTTAATCATTAATATCAATTTTAAATATGAAGAATTTAAGACCTAGAGACGCTATGTTGTTCAACGTCTTATGGTTAATAATAACTATGCGGATTAGTGTAAAATCAGTACTCTCTGACACAGCACAAGAGTTCTTAACTGCTAGAATAAACAGTCTCTATTTTGACATCCATCTATCTTTATTATTTATAGAATTATTTACAATTATTATTCTGTGTTTTTAGTGATGTATAAAGTTATACCTTATAAACTAACCCTTGCTAATTTTAGGTCAGATGTGTAGTGATTATTACTCTACTTATCTTATCACAGGTGGCAACTTTACATTTCAGCTTCTAAATCTACCTAATTGATATAGAAGGGGCTAAATGGCATAATCTTGCAATATAGCAATTTAGTCAGCTAAGAAATATGAATCCTTAAGTTGCCTTTCTCTTATTTGACAAGATGTAAATTATCAAAGAATAAAGACTTTTGAAATAAAGGAATAACTAGAACATTTTGTTTTATGCAGGATGAAGACAGAATGATATTTGACAAACTGGTGAAGTTCTCTTTTTGAAGACCTAAGATTTTGACTGGAATTGCCAGAATACTTCAATACATATTTAAGCCTAGACAATAATCATTAGGCTAGGGATTCCATCCATCCTGAAGCAGGTGAACCCAACAGTAAAGTTATAGGGACCATACAACTTGAAACATCTCTGACTGCTTAATGATACCAGATGCTCTGCTGAAAAACTTTTGAAAGTGTTCCTTAAACCTCGAGATATTTTTGATTTCTGCTCTGGATATTTCTTGGAATAGAAATCTTAGACTACTATGTGTCTTCTGTATCTGACTCTACTGGCACAATTTCTCTGACTCATGACTCCAAGGTTGGAGAATAAGGAATCCTTGGCAGAGAAACTTCTGTGGCTGGCTTTTAAATGCTTTTTCCCCTCTTTGTTCCATGAGTCCCTTAATTGTTATGTTGAAGGTACTAGACAATATTTTTCACCTTTCCTTTTAACCTAATCTAGTATTAGGCTTTATTTATATAAGTTATTTGTATTCATATCTGAGAGATGCATAGCAATTTTGATCACTAATATAGACATTATGTAATTTACCAAAAAATAGTAATATGGAAATAACTTTATTTTTCTCCTCTCAAGATGCTTATTATGACTCAAAAGATCCCATGAGACTATATATTCTGTTCAACTTATTATCGAAGAAAATTCCATATTTTGTTTTAAGTCTGAAAACACAGTTTTGATATTTCCTTAGCATACTTGTGCATTTGCAAATTCTTTCAAAAAAAGCCCTACTCAAGGGAGTCAAATTTGTTTAATTTCTATCAAAAGTTATAATTTTATTTTGTTTACCCTGTTGATTTCTGTCAATATATTCTTATTAATGACAAACTATTGTGTTAATATTTTTACATTTAACTACATGCTATTTACTTGGAATCAATATTACCAATATACTGCAAAATTTATTATATGGTTTCAATAGTTGCATAAACATTTAAAGGAAAAAAATAGGAGTCACATCCAATTTGTCTTTTTTTTCTTTTAATGGAACAGGGATGTAACAATGCTGCTTAGAACTTGTTTATATTATCAGCATATTACATAGGCAACACATAAAAGTAAATCAATTTGTACATGAAAATTGATAATATAAATAAAGACACTGGGAAGTAAACTCTAATATTTCAGCTTTTTTGGTGTTTTAATTTATGTCTGTGTTTTTTTTGGTTAATGGTTGGCATTTGGTCTTAATTTCTCCAGATTGTTAGTTTTCTTGATATCAGAAGGTAATTATATAATCCAACTCACCCGGCTGATATAGCATTTTCTAATCTGTCGTGAAGTAGGTACATTCTTCTTCTTCTGTTTTTTTTTTTTTTTTTTTTTTTTTTGAGATGGATTTTTGTTCTTGTCACCCAGGCTGGAGTGCAGTGGCACAATCTCAGCTCACTACAACCTCCGCCTCCCATGTTCAAGCGATTCTCGTGCCTCAGCTGCCCAAGTAGCTGGGATTGCAGGTGCCCGCCACCACACCCAGCTAATTTTTGTATTTTTGGTAGAGTTTGGGTTACACTGCCAGAATGGTCTTAAACCCCTGACCTCAGGTGATCAACCCTTCTTGGCCTCCCAAAGAGCTGTGTGAACCACCACACCCCATCGGTAAATTCTTAAACGGAGGCAGAATGATTGGCTGAGAATTCTGTCACTTTCTGCTCTTAAAATACTGTCTTCCTTACAACTTTGTGTGACTTTTGTAGATAGGCTAAAAAATTTGTTGGTTTTCCTCAACTATTAAAGTAGGAAAAATATTAGGAATTTCCGAGCACTATATAAAAATGTTAAGACAATAAAATAGATTATATTCCTTAAAATGGCAAATAAAATATTGATTCTTTCAGAAATTTTCTCAAAATTGAAACTGGACATGAGTCTTCCATTGTATTGACAGAAAACAACATTTGTGAAATATTAAATTTTATATAATTTTATGAATGCATCTTTTTAATGGCTGGCCTCTGTGATTTGGATTGAAGATGGATTAATCTATAAGGAATCACTTCATAAAACTATAAGTAACATTTTGTTTTTGTGTCATTGTCATTTTGTAAGTACTAGATTTCTTCTAGATTTTGCTTAATATGAGACTTCTATTCTCTTACACATAAGAGACCTCACTACACATTTCCCCTCCAAAATATAGTGAGCTTCTTGCAGCATGGAAATTTTAGTTTATAGGGTTATAGAGAAAAGAAATAGCATAAAAAGTACTTTCATGTTTCTTTTTTAAATGATCACAGACGTACTAGAAAATGCGTTAAAACACAAAACACAATTTTATTTTTTAAAAGTTGCAATTACAATATCTAGAAGACAAATAAAATGTAATTTGTAGTTCTATAATTAACAATATATAAGCTAAATTAATAAAATTTACTTTCATTATTAAAAAGTCCACTTGCTGTTTAAGGATGCAGTCACTGTAATTGAATTTTAGAAAACTTTGGAGTAAACAGTAGGCTCAGGCAGAGCTGAAACTGATAAATGCATACAATATAGAGCATATACTATGGAATAACCTGAGGATTAATAGAAAACCTTACCAATTGTTCTTCAGCATTGTGATAGAATTTACTCAAAATTTACTAAGTGACTCATTTAGTTCATTCCTATGTCATTCAACTGACATCCAACTTATGTAGACTGGACAACACACAATGATATTTTGGTTTACAAATCTGGTGAAAGAGAGTCACAAGCCGTTGAAGCACCAAAGTAAGGAAGACTTGATTGGATTGCATAAAAGCAAAATAAGTGGAAAATATGCAGGACTAACAAAAGCAGATTATCAATCAGGAAAATTAAGACCACCCCTCCATCTCCCTGAATTTCATTTCCAAGCAACAAACCCATTCCACAGCTGCGGTTAGTGTTGGCTGATAACTTTCAGCTGCTATTTTCTCCACTTCACCACTGCCCTATCCAGACCGATGATTGAAATGTTTCAAATGAACTAATATATAATGTTAGGCAAAGTAACTTTTATTGTTTCCTCATCCATGTGTAAATGCCTCAGCTATTGGTCACCTAGATGTCATTATGACACAAGCACAATAGCTAGATTTTTCCAACTCTTTATTTTTTTTTAAACAAAAATTATTCAAATCATTTGAAAGATAGAATTAATTAGCAAAAGTATAAAGGATAGCTTTTCTAATTAAGAATTATAATAACCTAATAAGAGAAATTTACATTGCAAAAAATCTTTCTGCCCTTCCTTTCTTAGAGTTATCTATATAACAGCCTTATTTACATTTTGATAAATTTTCTGCTATATCTATGTTGTATATGCATGTTGAAATATATATATCCTTTTCAGTAACTCTTACGTAATATAAAGGTAAGCAACCTTATCTGAACTTCTGAACCCAGAGATGAGGATAGTACAACCAGAAGAAAATAAATAATTCTTAGTCAGGTTCCTATATTCACAGACTTTTAATAGTGTTTTATTATATCTGTAAACAGAATGTTTTCATATTAATATTTATAATTATTAAGGTACTTTAGTGTAGAGAACACTTTTAATTCATTTTTAAGCTTAAGAACTATAAACAAAAATAAATAAATAAAAGAACTATAAACAATTATATGAGTTATAAATGAACCACACTTGAAACTGAGGAGACACTTGAACTACATTTAATTGTGTAGCTGTTATCTGTTGCCCCAATAATGTTGCATAATTTATTTTTATTTTTATTTTTTAGAGACAGGGTCTCACTCCATTGCCCAGGCTGGAGTGCAATAGCACAGTCTCAGCTCACTGCAACTTCCAGCTCCCAGGTTCCAGAGATTCTCCCACCTTAGCCTTCAGAGTCGCTGAGACTACAGGTGCTTGCTACCACACACAGCTAATTCTTAAATTTTTTGTCTAGATGTAATTCTTCCAATGTCCAGGCTGGTCTCAAAATCCTGGGTTCAAGGAATCCACCCACCTCATTCTCCCAGAGTGCAAGGATAACAGGTGTGAGCTATCACACTCAGTTTAAAATAAATCATTTTGATTGTGGTTGTATGTGTTGGTTTGATTATTCTGCTGACTTCGGCAGGGATGAGTTGGGCTAATGTATGTTTCTGCAGTCAGGTGCTGCTCAGCTAAAAGTTGGCTTTGCTAATCTTGACCAAGTCTTCTGTAGTGTCTGGGCTTTCATTGCCACACATGGGCCTATTGGGCTGTGCTCATGATTCTAATAATGTAGATAAAGGGCAAGAGAGAGGAAATAAAAATGTATAAGCCTCTGCCCACATCAGATGTGTGGCTATTCTGCTAGCTAAAGAGATATGTGCCCAAACCCAGGGTCAATGTGGAGGGATCTGACCAAATGCTGTCAAATTGAAGGCTAATAACGCACTGAATCTGTTTCAGTGGTCTGCCCTTGAGCTTAAACTTTCACCAGTATGTTTTGCTCACCACTATTTTATCTTTCATGGTTACACTGGTGAATTTAGAGGAATGACATTTGAAGGAAGAGAAGTAACCTGGTATTAAATATGTAGTCTGGGAATATAGCATTATTATAGGGTCTTTATGCTCTCAGGAGGCAAGACTCCAGTATATGTTTAAAAAACGTACAATCATTTGACTTGAGGCTCAAAAAAATTATGATGTGAATAAATTGTTTTCAACTCAGTTAAATCCAAAATGTGTAAATTATGTACTGTATACCAGATATAAAAGCCTATTTGCTAGACGCATGCTATTAAAGTAAAAAGAATATTTCATAAATCAGTGCTCTTCAAAATTTTAAATGTAGTTGAATCACCTAAAGCTTTTGTTAAAATTCTTATTGTGATTCATCGGGCCTGTGAAACACACAGAATTCTTCATTTTTAAACAGCTGCTAGGTGATTCTAATACTCCTGGTGTGGAACACCACTTTGAGTAGTAAGGTCACAGATTATGCTTTTAATAAACAGAGCCTACTGTGGGAAATGAGAGAGAGGCATGTAAACAGATAAAGTAATCTGTGTAAGTACAATAATTTAAATATGTACAGAAAAGTAGAGCAGAAGGAAAAGTTTGGCACTTTGCATTGAATCAGTCAATACATGAAGCTACCTAATACCATAACATAATAAGGGAAGTAGAAGTACTGCTACATTGTCAGGACACAATGAGAAAAGGTCAGGGGACTTATTGCAACTGACGCTGTGATATATCATGAGTGTGGCTGAAGGGGGTCATCTACATAACTACAGATAACTACAGACGTAAAGTAGTTATTTAGCACTATTATCCTTGAGACCACGCAAAAGAAGCAAAAAAAAAAAAAAAATGTAGGCACAGAAACTACTCTAGAGATATTTTCAATAGCACCCTAGGTTGAAAGCCTAAATTAAAGTGGTGACAGGTAGGATGATGATAATGTACTCAAGACATATTTAAAATATAGGAGCAAAACACATTAGTGATAGATTATTTGAATAATAATAAAAAAAAACTAAGTGGAAGAAACATATTAAGCCCCTCCAGTTAGATGTACTATGGATGCAAGAGAATATATATGTGAAGGCCATTATTTCTCAAAGGATAATGTTGAGAGAAAAGAATATAAATGATATACTGGTCAAAAAGACTTATTATGCAAGGAATTAGATGTTCTCTCTTAGATAAGGAAGCAGTTTAACACTTACTGGCAAAATCTGATTTTTATATACATATATATTCTTCTTTCCAATACATCTTTTTGTTATGTTTTAGAGTAATGTTTTACCAGATGCTCCATTTTTGGTGCCTCTTTTCTCGGATGTTTATCAATGCACCCTTTAGAGTTACTGATTGGCACCTAACTATGGTCAATATTAGGTGCTTATGGCCAGACCTGAATAATATTATTTTGGAAACCACCCTTCCTTACTTGATAAATCTGTCAGTCATAGCATTCACATTGCTACAGGAGACCTTGCAGCTTTGGGTGACTCATTCAGAGTTGTCTCTGGGTTACTGGTGCCATCAGGAAATACCCACTATCTTCTCTAGGATCACAAGTCATAAGGAGAATGTGAGCTTAGAGCTGCAATGACATTTTTGCAATAACCCTAATCACAGGAAAGAGAAGAATGAAGGACCTGGAATCTTCATAACATCTTCCATACCCCTGGATTCATTACTACTTAAGGCCATGTCTATCCTAGACTATCTCTACATAATCCCATATCTCCGTTTATAACGTTTAATCCATTTCAAGGCAAATTTTGTCTGTCGTCAATGAAAGAATTTGGGCTGACTTGCCTCCTACAGAAAATTAATAAAATTACCTATTTTTCCAGTTTCAGTTCTTTCTTGTTCTTAGGCACATGAAAACTCCTATTCTATATAATCATGTGTCTCATGCTAGACACATACATAGCTACACGTAAATTGTTATAAATAAATAAAAATAAAATCACAAAATTCTAATGTCTGCTAAGGACTGATGTTTTTGTTACATACCTTTTTTTTTTCATAGTTTTAGGAACACTTTTAAATGGAGGTAAAAGTACCATAGAGTGACAATTTTTTTCATGAAAGATACTAACTTTGGTAGTATGATAAAGAGGCCAAATCTTTCACAAAAATCAACAGGTGTTTTTTAAGGGCCATTATAATATTTCCAAAACCAAAGATATAAACAAACTAACACCACCAATGGAAAAAACAACAATCGTCAATAGAGAGTTAACATAGTTCATTAGCAGTTTCTACCTGCCTAAGGACAAATGAAAGTTAGCATAATTAAAGTTCAAGGAGTCTCAACATGAAGAGAAGGATCAGCAGGAAGTAAAGAACATTGAGTAAAAATTTCACAATTTTATCATTTAATCATCACCTGAACATAATGTCTATAAACACCCTTAGAAGTCATTCATTCATTTAAACTAATATTTGAAAAAATTTTAAAGTTGTATACTTAAGAAATAAGTTACATTGTCAAAGAGATGCCGTATTATCTGAAGTGAAGGTCCTTTCCAAAATACTATCATGTAAATTGCTATTATTTATTGAAACAGAATTATTACATTTTCAAATTTTGCTGAC